AGTTATGGTCAACTTCCGGTTAAAAATGTCAACGTCAATTTTGACATATTTGTAATCGTCGTGAAAAATCCTTTAAAATGAGTCCAAACATGATACGTTTAATTCCAATATTACTCGAGATATAAGCAACTTCCGGTTTAAAATGTCAATGTCATTTTGACATATTCTTAATTTTTATAAAATGTCTTAATATTTGTTACAAAAACAAAAATATAACAAAAAAAAATTAAAAAATTAAGGTTGGTATTAATGTTTCCTTATAAAATTTCATTTGAGTATCCTTCCTGCATTGATTATCGTCTAATAGTTCCACACATTCTTGTGAAGATTGTCAATTTGTGATGTATGTCCTTATCGGGTTCATATCGCATCTTAGATTTCTAAAAGGGTTGATCTGTTCTAAGCGAGCAGATAAAAGCATATGCTCCATACTTGTTTCTCATATCTCAATCACTTTTTATAATAAAGTTTAATGCTATATGCGAAGTTTTCAACATTGAGTTAAATGAAGATCTATATAAAACAAAATGTTAATCTGCGGCAAATTTGGAAATGCTGACAGGCAAGTAGCATACCAAAGGGCTTACCCCAACTATGTAAGAGGAGTTTCTGGTCCTTGAGAAAATAAATTTTAAGTTTTCTGCTAAAAATTGTATCTTAAATAATCCCTCTATCATAAATCTGAGAGTGTGAATATTTAAAACGTAGCTATACTAGAAGGCATACTTGAATTATCAAGAGTAAGAGCTGCAGTTTCTGGTTCTTGCAAAAATATAATCCACATTTATTATTAAAAATATTGTAACTTCAAAAATTAATCTCTCTTTCTTTGCAGCACTACCTAAATTATCTGCTGCATCTCCAATTTATGACCTAAAACGACCTCCCTTCATAAGTTTGCCCTCTGCTGCTACGGTAAATATGATGTTGGCGATAAGGAAGCAGTGTTCTAAAGGACTTCTTGAATTATCCAAAGTAATCTCAGATTGTTGCAGTTTCTGGTTCTTGAGAGACTAAAGTTTAAGTTTATTACTGAGAATAATGTACATGCAAAAAGCTGCCCGTCTGCCTCTGCAGCAAAAGTGGATGTGGGGATAAGCAGAACGTATAGACCATGGAAACTCCAGTTTCTGGTTCTTCAAAAAATACATTTGACTTTTATGGCCAGTCTCTGAAATATCTCCTGCGAAGCTGTCTCTCCATTTCTAAACTCCGCATTGGTTTCTGATGTCGGAGTTCTTAATTCTGTCCCATCTGGTCTTTCCGAGATTATCTTCAGTGTCTCCATTTATGCTATTCTTAACATGCTCTTACAATTAGACAAAATAGTACTATGCGCATCTAGGTCTCGTATCTGTACTTTAATATCCACATGCATGAATTAAAAACAAAATTGCGAATACTTGTTGATCTGATTTCTCAAGTCAGACTAGGTTTCAACTAGAAAAATTCCATAACTTATTCCATGAGAATGCTGTTGACTACCAGATTACATCTTGTTGATTCTCTTGCTGAGACAGCCATGTTCTGGGCTTCGCTCGTTTGATAGAAACTATGTGGTTAATCTTACAGGTCATCCGTTGAGTTGGTGATTGTCGGCAGTTTTTGGTCTATTTTATATCTTAGATTTAAAGTTATTATTCTTCCTCCAATATTTTATACATTAATAAGTTATAGAAATAGGCTAAGACCTTGTCAGATACCACCTGGTGTAGGGATGTCTTCGATTAGTGCGTCTTTAGCCGTTATTGCTGAACTGCAAACAATTCTAAACTTATGATATGGTTAGGTTGATGTAAAAAGTTATCTAGTAGATCAAATTATAATGTGTAAGCAAGTAAAGATCGTTGAAAGAAGATGTAGGGGGCACTGTAATGGTCGAGCAAGCGATTAACAAATGATCGTAATTGGTATCTATTGAAAGATTCGAAAGATCAATTGATTGTGATGGCTTGTACGAATACAGCTGGTGACTATGTTTTAAAAATAAAAATTTACTTGTCCTGCTGTCTTTCCTGTCTTTGAAAATGATTTTTGATGGTAAATCTATAACCAATATGGCAGCATCGAAAAAAACCATACTGTTAAAAAAATTGACATCGTCCTCCATCTCTTCTTCTATGTTGTAATCCTTCATTTTACTGCCTGCACTATTTCAACACATGATGTGCTTAGCAATGGAACCTGTAATCTTAAATTTTCGGTACCATCATAGTATGCTCTGATCACCTACAATATCTGAGTTGCTGCACAGTTGTCATTTTTTATGTTAATATTATTGAATCAGTTTCCCATTTAAAACAAAGTTGCAAGTGTGGTTTTTCCTTTCTAATCACTACTTCTTTCATTTTGTTTTGAATGCAATTCTTGTGCTGCGAACGACTTGCTATCTTTTCATCTTTCTGTAGGTCGCCCCTTTTGTATACTGGTCTGCAATCTGTGGCTAATCTTAGCAATATATTGTGAAGCATGCTCGTTCCAGAGTCTCCTAGGTGCACGAATCCAGTTTACCACATCTTTCTCGCATTTCTTCCAAATTGCCTTGTGATTGGCCTCAAGTCATTGCTCTCTAAATCGCCATATGGTTGTTACGTATCTGTTTTTCTCTAGATGATCGTTCTTACTGCTCTCCCTATTCTAGCTGACTTATTGTCCTATTTTCTCACGTTGTTCTTGAATTCTCCATAAGATGGTATGTTCTGCCATGTGGCCATTCATTTCTAGCTTACATCTGTGCAGTTTTCCATGTTGACTTTTTCCGCCACTATTCCAAAAGGCTGCAGCAACTATTAAAGACTGCGTCGACCTTTAATCTGTGTTTTCCTAATCTCTGTTGTTCTCCCCTTGTTGTTATGTGCTTCAATTATATTGCACAAAATGGAAAAATAGCTTCATAGGTGTGCCTGAGACTGTTTCTTTGTTAACGAGTGATACTGTTTTTCCAGCTCTCTAAGGTTGTACATCCTGCAGTATTTTATTATACAGCTCTGTGAGTTTTGTTGCTAGTCCTCCTCCCACATTAACTTATTGGGGTATTCTCCAGGTCTGGTGACTTGCCGTTTTTAGTTGTTTCATCTGCATCATCTCTTCCTTCTTTGTGAATTGTTCTATTTTTTCAACTTCCTCAGCATCTACTTTCTCTATTCGTTGTCTTTTGGTGGAGGTTACAACACCTTTCCATTCTGAATACAGCCTTTGAAAGTAGCTGGTCCACTTTTCCACTAATATGTTATTATAAGACACTGATACTTTTTGTTACTCTGAGCATTATAAAATGACTTCTTTCTAAAATATATATTTTACAGCTACACCTATTCAACTTCTTTTCTTTTATTATTTTTTTTAATTTAATTTAGATTTCTTCCATCTTTCAAAAAATCAATGGCATTTATAACAGATGGCCAAGCTGAAACTCACGAAGAATATAAAAAGATAATCTCCAAACAAAAAACTCTCTTAAATCAATTCCTTGAAAACGATCCAAATTATCAACCAGATAATATTTTGCACGCCTTTTTAATGGAAAAAGAGAAACGAAAAGGAGAACCAACAGAAAAATTTTACAACCCCACTCAACTCCTTTATTTACTAGCGGATATCTTCGGAGCCGGCTTAGATACAACCCTCACCACTTTAAGATGGTTCTTCTTGTACATGGCCAAACACCCGGAAATTCAAAAAAAACTCCACGAAGAAATCGACAACATCATTCAAAACAGATCTCCGAATCTAAACGATTTTGCATCGATGCCTTTCGCTGAGGCGTGCTTCTCCGAAACTCAAAGAATCCGATCCGTAGTTCCGGTTGGAATCCCTCACGGTGCTTTGGAAGACGTTCAAATCGAAAATTACGTTATCCCAGAAAACACGATGATTGTCCCATTACAATGGGCTATCCATATGGATGAGGAGGTTTGGGATAGCCCAGAAGAGTTTAATCCAAATCGATTTTTAAACGAGGAAGGAGGTTTCGTTAAAAACGAAGCTTTAATTCCGTTTCAAACCGGGAAAAGGATGTGTGTTGGGGATGAGTTTGCTCGGATGGTTATGTTTTTATTTGGAGTTGGTGTTTTGCAAGAGTTTTTTGTTTGTGCTCCGGATGGAATCGATTTGGATGTTACTGGAGATTGTGGCATCACTTTAACACCGAAAGACCATGAGTTAGTTTTTAAGGTAAGAAAAATTGTTTAATCATGAAATGTTTTTGACTATATTTATATGAATATACCTTCATAAATATACTTCTTTTTATTATTTATGGAAAATGTACCTGAAACGTCCCCAAAATTCTCGAATATAAGTAAGTAAAAAGCCTGTTGGCAGAAGGGTAAATAGTAATGGCAGGGACTAGATAGTGCTGGCAGAAGACTAAATAACACTAACAGCAGATGAGATATTGTTAGCAGAAGAGTAAATAGTGATGAAAGAGATTAGATATTGCTGGTAGAAGATTAAATAGCAGTCGCGAAGACTAAATACTGCTGTCAGAAGACTAAATAGTAGTGACAGAAACTAGATACTGCCGATAGAACACCAAATAATATTGATAGAAGACTAGATACTGTTGGCAGAATGTTAAAAAGGAGTGGCAAAGATTAAATAATGTTGACAGAAGACTATAAAATGTATACAAATGATTAGATACTGTTGGTAGAAGGCTAAATGGTAGTGGGAAAGACTAGTTACTGCTAGGAGAAGACTGAATAATGGTAAATAGTGTAATATTCAAAAGACAGATTCTGCCTTTGTCTCATATTACACAAATTTCAAGATTTAAAAAGTCATTAAAAAAGTTAACGCAGTGATCAACTATTGGAGATACTTGAATAACATTTCGTCTTCTGACACACGGCTAAACCCGAAGCTTTTTAGACAGAATAACCAGAAAGGACAGCGACGGCGGTCTCTTTGATGTTCAAGGGTTCAAATTTGTGACCTACTTACAATCCAATACTTACTGGTTTATAGGTTGGAATATTAAATCTGCGAATTTCAATGCACTTTTATTTTCGTGAAATAATAGACAAATTGTGTATATATTTTCTTTCAAAGTTTTAATAATTTAGGAAAATTTATTTTTAGCACAGCCGGATAATAACGCAACATAAGTGAGGTTAAGTTAAAACTTATAATTACAAATACGTTGTTCAAACTACCTGGAAATCCCCACAGGACAATGATCAACATATTGTTCGTAATCAAATAGATTACATCACAATTAGCCGAAGGTTTAGAAACACCATCACTACAATGCCAGGGGCTGATATCGGATCAGACCATAACTTAGTCTGTGCTGACATCGTTTTTCGTCTTGCCAAACCCAAAAAAAAGGAAGACCTTCAAGAAGATAATGGATATACAATTGTTGAAAGATGAAGAAACAAGATTACTGTATGAAGGTCACATTATTAAAGAACTAGAAAGAGGTACCAGTACAAACGATACTAACAAGCATTGGCTAGAAAAAAACTACTGCTAAGAAAGAGTGGATGACAAAAGATATTCTGGAACTAATGAAGAAGTGAAGACAATGTAAAATCAAGAATGATCACATTGACTACAGAGATCTTCAAAGAAGAATACGAAATAAGATTAGAGTGGCAAAAGAGAATTGGCTGCATGAAAGTTGTAGGGAGGCTGAAGATCTTTACAGACTTGGAGACAATTATCATTTACATAAAAAAGTAAAAGAAATAACTGGGCTGTATAATAATAGATCGCCAAATTTCATAAAGAATGAGCACAATGAAGTAGTGACAGAAACGGAAGAACTGTTGCAAATATGGAGAAAATGTACAACTAGCCTCTTCAACGTCACCATTTTGCCTGGACCAAGTATATTAAGAAGTGAAGTCATATACGCTATTAACTCGATGAAGGATACATACAAGGCTTTATCAAAAATGTGAGGAAGCAAGTGGAGCCAGTCAGTTTGGATTTAAAAGCGGATTTGGAACCAGAGAAGCCTTGTTTAGTCTCCACACACTGCTACAAAATGCCAAGATCAAAGAAAGGACGTCTTTATGTGCTTCATCAACTATCAGAAGGCATTTGACAACGTTAAACACAATCTTCTGATAACATACCTTAGAGATGTGGGACTGGATGCAAAGGATATAAGGCTAATTGGTAATCTAAAATTGGTACCAAAAAGCGAAAGTCAGAACAAATAATACTAGAACAACTGAAGATTTTGAAATCAAAAAGGGCATTTGCCAAGGACGCCAAGGGTGTGTCAACCTGACGACACCGTGATATTAGCGGATAGTGCACATAATCTGCAAAACCTACAAACCTGGGTGAAGAAGAAAGCCAAAGACGAAGTTTGAAAATTAACGTCAGCAAGACCAAACTTATGGTGGGTAATAGGAACTCCTTTAATCTCCACACACTCGAATACATGTTGATGGAGAGATCATCGAAACAATTTAGATACTTGATATGTATGATCAATGAGGGATGGACCAGGATTAAGAGATAAACTGCAGGATTGAACGAACTAGAACAACCTTTCTAGGACTTCGAAAATTTCTTACGGACAAGAACCTAAAATTTAGCCGCAGATATATGATTGTAAAGTGCTACGTCTGGTCCGTTCTACTATATGGGTAGGTTGAGACTGCTTGAAAAATTACTATTAAAAAGACTAAAACCTGTCATAGAAGAAAAAGCCCTAATACCAACACATCAATTTGGGTTTCGAAATAAACATGCAACAATAGACCAACTACATAGAATACCGAATACTATCGAAATAGCAATGGAAGAAAATAAAGTCTGCTCTGTCGTATTTCTGGATGTTGCACAAGCTTTCGACAAAGTCTGGTTAGATGGTTTAAATTACAAATTAGACCAAATACTATTAAAACTATTAAAATCGTATCTTTCTGATCCATATTTTAGAGTAAAATACGAAAACGCTTGTTCACCACTACATGAAATACGAGCCGGAGTTCCTCAAGGAAGTTTGCTTAGCCCAACACTGTACTTACTCCACATCTTCCTCAGGTACCAGAAACTTTAACAGCTACATTCGCAGATGACACAGCGATCTTGGCTGTTGCAGAAAATGAAGTAGTTGCAGTAAATAAGTTATAATTGGCCTTAAATTCAATAGAAAACTGGACCAAACGATGGCTAATAAAACTAAATACAAATAAATCGACATACATAAACTTTACTTATAAGAAAGTAAACTATGTCCCAGTACACATAAATGGCAATGCAGTCCCTTACGCCGACACCGCAAAATATCTTGGTATGACCCTGGATGCAAACTTAAATGGAAAGCTCACGTCAAAAAAAAAACGTGAGGAACTTGATATCAAATTTAGACACCTATATTGGCTTATTGGCAGAAAATCAATGCTATCACTAAATAATAAGTTGCTAATATACAAGCAAGTATTAAAACCAAAATGGACATACGGAATCCAACTGTAGCTGCAAAACAAATGCAAGTCTGATTCAAAGATTCCAGAACAAAGTACTAAGGTGCATAGTGAATATACCCTGGTTTATAAGAAACATCGACCTCCATCGCGACTTGAAAGTAGTCATCAGAAATTGCATCATTCACATCTAAACATGAGAAGAGAATGCACGATCATCCCAACATCGAGGTGTAGTAGTGTGTACGTTTTTGTATTTTCGGTAAAAATATGACAATCTTTATCTATATTATGGGCAAAGCAGACTGGACCACTGGGAAAATCTGCAAAACATTATCTAGTTTAATTTGGTGTTCAAAATAAGTAACTAATTAGTATGTATTTACTAGGTGCTATATGCTTTGTTTCGATGATACAGGGCGAATAAAGTTTGCGACAATAACAACATTTTATTATCAAAAAGTACATGTAAAGTTGCCCAATCTACAATAAATGTTCGAAATAAACTTCCGTCATTGATTGTCGAACTCTTTCAACCACACCAGGGTCGTTTGTAATTGGGTTACAATTATTCGATTTCGCAAATCATCCAAATTCTCCACTGGAGTAGCGTAAACTAATGACTTCAGAGATCCTCAGAAAAAATAACCCAGGAGGTTTAAGTCTGGGGATGTGTCTGAAATGTGGTGGTACATCATCGTGCATAAACCACATTGCAATTCTTGTCGCGTATGGTACATCCTCCAGAAACCCAGGCAGCGTTTCTGCCAAAAAGTTGCGATACACCACGCCAGTAAGTGTTCCTGGTAATAGAAATACCGGTCCAATTAGATAATCATCCACAATTCCAACCCAAACATTCAAGGAGAATTGATGTTGAAAATGATCTTCACATACCTCATACGGATTTTCATCTGCCCACACATTATTGTATTTCTTGAGAAATGGGCTTCATCGGTAAAAAGAATCTGTGTCAGGAATAGATGGATGTGAACTAATGTTTGCAATATCCATTGTCATAATGTGGTATGGATACAACAAATTGTCCTTACAAAGTATTTGCAATTCTTCGCACATTCTGTTCCAATTGTACCGGGCAGGAAATCGTTGGATGTACAATCGTCTAGCTTCTGATGAGTTGCCATCAGCAAGTCCATACATGAAATACATGTCAGTCATCTCAGCGTTCGTATAAAGTATAAATCATAATATAGTAGGTATTACACTAACTGTTAAAGACACGCCAAACAGCCAAACATATTTAGGTACTTGATTAACTCATTAACGTATGCCATACTTTTATTTACATTAATAATTTCAACAAATATCAAATATGATATCGAATAACCCTTTGAATTTTTGCCGCAAGTTTACCTAACACCCTGTACAATTGTGCTTTGCATAAAAAAACCAGGGAAAATTACAAAAATTGAGGGAGGAAAAAGAGGAATAGATATTACTAGCAGAAGGCTAAATAATGATGAAAGAGATTAGATACTGCTGGTAGAATATTAAATAGGAATCGCGAAAACTAAATACTGCTGGCAGAAGACTAAATGGTAGTGACAGAAACTAGATACTGCCGACAAAAGACCAAATAATACTAATAGATGACTAGATACTGTTGGCAGAAGGGTAAATAGTAGTGACAGAGACTATAAAATGATTAGATACTGTTGACAGAAGATTAAATGGTAGTGCTAAAGACTAGATACTGCTGGCAGAATACTGAATAATGCTAAATACTAAGTTGACGCACTGAGCAACTCGTCGGAGATACTTGAATAACGTCTTCTTGAATGTTTCGAGTTCATGATCTAGTGTTAGTTCTAGTGTGAGCTCTAGTTTTAGTTGTTATTCAACTCTAGATTGTTGTATATATTTATTGAACTAATACAACACTCCCTTCCCCGTATTAATCCGTTATGTGGAAGTTTTACCGTATTTATAGAAAATGTTCATCCGTAAAGTTTTTATGTAACCAAAAAAAACTTTCTCTCCTTTTCTTATATGGATTACTTCTGAAATTTAAAGGTTAACGACCTTTATGGTTGACCAAAAAAGCTGTAATAAGCAGAGAGAATAAATTGTAAGAGAAACCGTTTAAATGAAATTTTTTAACAATTAAGGTATTATTAAGAAAACAACAAAAATACGAATGAATAAAAATTTATTAAATAACAAATAAAATCGCGTACACAAAATAATAATTAGCTTGTCTGTGTCTCTACTCTCCTATATACAAAAAAATAGTACAAAATAAAAAAACAAACAAAAAAATATCTACAAAACGTCGCAATAATAATTATTATTATTATCAATACAATTAATTGATTTTTTTAATAATTAATCGATTATGTACAAAATACAAAAAAAAATATCGTTCGTTAACATTCTTTTTGTTTTTAAATTAAAATCAACAACTCGCGAGGTAACTATATAATACAAAAGTGTAGCGAAAACGGTTTTGAAAATAATTAATAAAAAAAAAAAGGTAACGTTCTTTCTATTTTTTTACCGCCGATTTTCTGTCTTTTTTTTTTAATAAAAAAACGGTAATTTTTTACGCGATAAAAAAATACCTAATAAAAAAAAATAGTATGTATAGTACAATAACTAAAATATGAACTCGATTCGGTAACGATACGTTACAAGTGATGGTTGCCACGCCCCTTTCTGACTAGCTTGCCCCGCCCGCCCCTAATACGTGAACACTATTCGCACAGCCCGTTCAAGTGGTTGGATCGCCCGCGACCCTAATCGTCAATATTTCCCTTTTTTTATTCAAAAATTTTAACCACGCCTTTTTACACCTCTTCATCAAAAAACACGCCTTAAATCGTCTAAAGCACACCTCAATTTAACTTAAATTGAGTAAAACACCTCGAATCACCTCAATATGATGTCAATCCTCTTAATTTTATTGAAATGTGTTTTAGAAATTTCTTTTCCACCTTTTTTAGACCGTTTCTATAGGAACATTTCGAAAAACAAAATAATTTCTATTTTCTTCAATGAAACCCGTGTGTTTTAACGGGTTGAATGTCGTCCCATTCGACTCGCCTTTCTTTTAAGCAGATTTTGAACGGTCTCGGTGTGATGGTGACTCCGTAAAAACCTTCCAGGCTGGGTAAATCCTCACCCGATGGTACCTCGAGGTCGAAACAGTGAAGCAAACTTGAGAAAAATAGGAACAATTCCATTCGGGCTAAAACTTCGCCCAAACACGTTCTTCTCCCAACTCCGAATGGCATGAAATATTCTGGTTTCGTCACTTTTCCTTCTGCCGTGATGAATCTCATCGGGTTAAACTCTTCGGGTCGGTCCCATAGGTTTGGGTCAGTATGGACAGCCCTTAAAAGTGGAATGACTTGTGATTGTCGTGGGAATTTGTAACCACTCATGTTGACGTCTCTGCAAAAATTAATCGAAATTAATTTTGAAACCACAAAGACTTTTTTGGTTATTTACCTTATTGGGGAATGAGTTGTTCCCATTGGGACCACACTGGAGACTCTTAAAATTTCGTAGATGGTCGCTTCTGTAAGTGGCAAATACTTCAAGTCTTCTAAAGTTGGTAACCTTTTATGCCCAACGACTGCCCGAAGCTCATCTTGGACTGCTTTCATCCATTTGGGGTTGTGCAGCATAAAAAGGACTCCCCATTGAAGCGTCGATTTAATAGTTTCCATTCCCGCTGAGAAGAGATCACCCATAATTTGTTGTATTTGACGATCTATAAGAAACAAAATTAAAATCCAAAAAAAAAAAATCAAAAATTAATTTACCATGATCTTTTCCTTCAAATAAATGCTTCCCGGTTCCTTCTTCATTAGCCTTCTCAATTTCCAACAAATAGGCATCCAATAAATCCCTAATTTTCGTGGGATCAAAACTTTTTCGATGATCATCAATCGTCTCTTGTAAAAAAATTCCCATTTCCGCCCTGTTCTATTAAAAACAACAATCACAACCTCATCCAAAACGAATCAAAATTTGTTCTTACCTCAGAAATTTTTTGGCGAATATTCCTCGATTTCGGGAGATACTTCATCAGCGGGATAAATTGCACCAAATCGATTGAGCCAAAAAGGCGGAATCCCTCCTCAATCAAATTCATCATCCGTTTGAATCTCGAATCATCGTGAGAGAACCTCACCGACATGATGATATCGCAGATCACGTTTGATATAGCCACTTGGAAGTGATGATTGAGATCGATGGCTTCGTTTTTGGACGAGCGCAAAAATGATAAGAACGAATCAACTTCTCGCATGATTCTGCTTTCCATTTGGGCTTTTCTGGAACCGATGTAACTCATTCCAAATTGTCTGAGACGATCGTGGATGAATCTTCGTTGATCTTTCCAAAGTTTACCTTCGGTGTTTATTATTCCTAAAGGGGATAAGACACTTGAATAAATAAAATAAATAAAATAAATGAAATAAATACTTAATTAAAAGTTGTTTTAACGAATTGAAATTGAAAAGTGATAAGACGTTTTTTTGGGAATTGGGTTAAGAGATACGATAAGAAAAGTTTTATCGATCAATCAAGGTTGAAAATTGTGAGAATTAAAAAATAAAACTTACCATAACCTCCTAAAATGTTTGTAAATTCATTGATTGGTCTGCCGGTGAAAACTTCTTTTCGGAAAGCTTCCCTGATTAATTTGTAATCGCTGAGAACGATGATCAATTGACTTCCTAATCTGGTCGAGTATAGTGATCCATACTTTTTCGCCAACGATGTAAAAAAATCATGATAATTTCCTTTGGCTTTTGGCAAAAGTCCAATAACTGGTAGTCCGATGGGTCCAGGTGGTAAATCAAGGGTGTCCCTCCAGGTCTGTGCAAAACGTACGATCGCGGCAACGATGGCAATCCACAGAAGGGTTCCGGTAAGTTCTCGTTGCACTGTACCCCACAGCAGCCCGAACACGTAGAGGAACATCGTGCAGCCGTGGTTAAAGGAAAGGAAGAGAAAAAAATCGCAAAGGGGATACTGGAAGAGTTGCTTATGTACGTGAGAATGGATTGTTATAGTTGAAGTTGTAGGCTTTTATATGTTGTGTGTAGTGGCGCTGGAAATACTCGACGGACGGAGGTATGAGTGTGGGGGGATAAGCAGTCGGGGGCGGAGCCCCCCGGGCGACGCCAATGACTGTACGGGGCCCCCTCTACGTTTATTGGCCGAACGGCGATTGTACGTAGGTACACTTTTTTCTTTTCTTCTCTTTTAGCTTAGTGCGCGCGCCGAGTTCACGCTCATTCATCAAATTCTTCTCTTCTCAATGCGGTATCAGAAGCCGCTTGATCACCACATAAACGTTTTTCTTTTTAATATCTTTTTAACACCACCTACTTAACAAACTCTTATAATTTCCAACAGCAAATTAACAAGAACATATCATTATTAAATCAATGAACATAAGATTTTTTTTTAATATTTAACTTTTTTATTGCTGTTAAGTACGGTAAAGGTCAGTTTTGACAGCGAAGCAGTTATCGCAAAAAGAAAGTTGGGTAACGGGGGACCCTCGCTGGTATTCAGGAACCGCCGACGCTGCATTGTTATGAAACAAGGCAAAGATGTGTGTGCGAAATGACTAATTTTAGAGTTCAAGCTCTTTAAGAATTTTTAAACGTCCTACTACTTTTGCATAAAGTTATATCGTAAATATATATTTGATTTTTTTTTCTGCCATTTTCTGCTCATTGTTTTGCACACTCCATATCCAGCAATGTTATCATATGAAAATTGTTCAAAGCTTACAGATCAGATACTTTCCAGAAATATAGAAACATACTTTTCAAAACTAAAAATAACATGTTCCTGGACTTTTGATACAATATGATTAGATACACTAAAATACAAGATCAACAAATTAAACATTTCAGAAAACATCAAGTCACAACACTCACATTCACATTTCTAGCAAATCACGAAATCACCAATAAAAGCAGAAATTTCCACGGGAGGAGTTCTATCCTCAATTTTGTATAATATGCACATGACATCACTCAAACTATAAACGATGACGTCACTATGTTTGTTATCGACAAAGTTTTATTTGCAAAAGATTACGAACAGCTGAGGCAGCCCTAAAAAAGATAAGAAACTCTCAACTACTGGTAATAAATAACCAACTAACTGAATAGAAAAATAAAGATAAAATGCTGAAGTATATTGGAATACACCTGGATGTAAGACTGACTTAGAAATTTCATGTTAAGTTGAACTAAATCAAGGTTATGGAAGAGTGGCAAAACAAGTCTCATAAATAGAAACATAATTTTAATCACAAATACTAGAGTTAAAATTATGGTGATTCCTGTAAACATTTTTGGTCTAAGCCCATAAATGGCTAAGATATGGGCTTAGAAATTTTTAAACATTTTCTTAAATATTTTCAATATGGTTTGTCTTAGAAAGATAAAATTTGGCAAACAGTTTAATTTTATGATGAAAAATCGTTTAAGATCACTTTTGACAATATGTAACCACGGGATCAAAAGATACAACCTCGATTATGAAATGTCTTCATTAATCTTAGGTAACTCATCAACTGTCAAATCATTACCCAACATTCGTCAGTCGGAATAGTTGTTTAAAATGATAAATAATTACAAATTTAATGTATTTTAACTTTATTTTGAAAGAAGGAAAGATAAGATTGAAAAAAATAAAAATAAATTAAATAAAGTGTAAAGGTCTAGCTAATTCCATTCTGCTCATTGTTTTGCACAGTCCATATCCAACAAAGTTATCATATGGAAATTGTAGTTTTCCAATTGGTCCATCAAAAAATAAAATTTTTGCCTAAAAAAAAGCACCTTATAACAAATTGTATGCTAATGTGAAGTTCAATGCTTACAAATCGGATACTTTCCAGAAATATAGAAACAAATTTAATTATTTCATAAACCTGGCAACATTTTTCAAACCTATAAATAACATGTTCCTGGAGTTTTGATACAATATGATTAAATAGACTAAAATGCAAGATCAAAAACTTAAACATTTCAGAATACATCAAGTCACATTTCTTGCAAATCACGAAATCACCAATAAAAGCAGAAATTCCCACTCAAACTATCACTGGTAATAAATAACTAACTATCTGAATGGAAAAGTAAAGATGAAATGTTAAAGTATCTTGGAATACACTTGGACGTAAGACTGACTTAGAAATTTCATGTCAACTTGAAGAGTGGCAGAACTATGTAGTCTCATAAATAGCAACATAATTTTAATCGCAAATACTAGAGTTAAAATGACCCATAAATTGCTAAGATATGGGCTTGCAAAGTTAAGAAATTAAAATTTGGTAAACCATTTAATTTTATGAAAACATGCAACCATGGAATCAAAAGATACAACCTCGATTATGAAATGTTTTCATTAATCTTAGGTGCCTATGAAAACAAATTCTAACTGAAGCAGTTGTCCAATTGTTACCTCATTTTCCTCCGTTGGTCATTTTTTTTTAGTTTTTTAAATTGTTACATTTTTAGTGTTTTAGTTGGCATCGTTTTATGGTTTTGAGGTTGTTTGGGTGTTTCTGCCGTGGTGGTGGTGTGATGTTGTTGCTAATTGCTGATGCTGTTGATATCAACAGTTCAGACATTTCGGAATCATTTTGTGCCACACGAACAGCAATTGTATCCATCAACCACTTATTGACAGTACAAGAATTAAAAATTGCTGCGAGTACAGTTTTGCCATACTATGATGGAAAAATGTACTATTGATAACCATTAATTTGACATATTGCTTTACTGCTTTACTTATGTTACGATTAATGACAGTAGTTCATGTGTCTTTTTATGAATAACTCTAAAAAGATGCGTCTAATCAAAAATTTCTAAGAGTGAAAATAATTGTAAAATGAAATGGGGTTTTAGAATCAATTGAAAATTTTAAGGGTTTACGACATATTAAAAAATTTTTAAGGAAATAACCTTTGTGGACACCTATATAGCATTGATTCCGTGGTTACATACTTTCAAAAGAGATCTTAAACGATTTCTCATGATAACATTGCATTGTTTGCAAAATTTTATCTTTCTAAGACAACCCATATTGAAAATGTTTAAAAATTATTTAACTTTGAAGATCAATATCTTAAGTATTTATAGGTTTAGCTGTAGTGTTTGTGATTAAAATTATTCCACGACTTACAGAAACACTTGTAGTATGTATTATTCAGTTTTGTGCCGTCATTCTCCTTATTTCCTCATTTCTCCAAATCATCATCTCTGCTGCTAGCAGTCTTCGAGTTGTGTCTTTGTCTTTCACCCATACGTCATTAATGGTTCTATAATGGTCTTAAAAATATTTTTCTTTGCTTGTATCATTAGGTTGTTATTGCACAGAATCGAATGCATTGCCTTTATCGCTTTTTTTTTCTCTGCCAACTTTCCTCATTATTCGTACTGGTCTACATGTTTTATTATGCCGGTCTCTAATTGTATGTCCTTTCCCATTCTTCCAATTACCATACAATGGGTATTATCTTTGTTCATTTCCAAACCCCATTTATTGTATTCTTCTTCTCAAGACCTGAAAACTGTTAGGTCGTCCGTGAACATCATGGTGTGTATGTGGCAGTCTCCTATCCATATTCCCATCGGGTTGAATTTCCTTTTTCAATGTTTTGGGGTTGAGTGGATATAGATCTTGAATATTGTGGGGGAGACACAACATCTCTGTTTGACACCTTTTGTAGAAGACAAAGCATCAGCTTTATGCGTAGTCATTATGTCATCTTCGTCGGAACTTATGTCCAATGTATATCGCACTTGACCTAGGTATTTTTGAAGTGCTTCTGAAACATGTAATAAAGTGTTAATTAAAATGAATTGTACTTAAACCTCAAGTTTTTTGAATACTAACTTTCACTCATATTCCATGGCATCATGAAGCTATAGCATTTCTTGAAGGTAC